TAACAAAAGTCGCCCTTTTAGACCCCTCGGTCGTCAAGGGTTAAAGAGTTTTGTTTTTTTACTAAACTGTAGGAATCATAGGATACTCAATAAAAAAAAATACTTTTTAACCGTAATTAGCGTCAGCCACAAAACAGAAATTTATACCATAGGCCCATTTAGGGACAAAGTCATGGAAACCTTCAGCACCCTGTATCTCAAAATGTAGAGGTTATGGGTAAAGTCAGTTTCGGAATCATCGGATCCAAATCCATATAAAAAGAGATATTTCATCCAATGTACACAACCCCAAAATGTTTATTGTCACCTTAACGTGGAATCTCTTAGTTGCTGGTAAAGATAGATATTTAAAACTTGAAAAAAAAATTCTTTTTCTACACAGCGGGGTTCAAATAATACTTTTACAACTAAAACATTAACATTTTTTACTAATTGTTTTTCCTAAAAGTGCAGGCTACAATATAGGTGTTACGGAAGTTAAAGCCAAAAATACTTCCTATGTTGGGATAAATCATGAAAACCTTCAGCACCCTGTATCTCGAATCTTGACGTGGCGGAAAAATTTTGGTGCCGTTTACGAAATCAGTAGGCCCAATCCCATATAAAATATTATACATATTGCAACATATGTATATTCGGGTGTTTCGCCGCGTTGTTGTTGTTGTTGTGGCGGCTACTCAAGCCCGCCCGGATCGGCATGTTCATCAATGTTGTCCATAGGGGTTTTGGGTGCATGCGAAAAGGTGCCGTGAGTCATGTGGCGACTCTCCGCAGGCCGGGCACTCATTGGGAACATCTGCGTTGACTCTGCTCAGGTACGAGTTTAGCCTGCGACAGTATACGGCATTCACAGGTCGGCAGTCGCTGTAAGTCGTTAAGTCGCTCGTCAGTAATCTTTAGAGACAAATCTAGCAAACCTACTAAAATAATACAGGGGGTTCTACGGAGTGGTGTCCTTTTCCCAGTACTGTTCAACTTTTACATCTCTATGCTCCTTCAACCACCAGAGGGAGTCTCGATTTTCCTTTATGCTGACGATTGTTCG